TTCACACCCATCTCTTGTGTTTGTATATCTTTTAGTCAGTTTTAGTCATAGAGTGCAGACACTTGGTATATATTAAGTGGGGACATACAGTGTCCTTCCTTCATAGCCTGGCTAGCTTCACTCAGCAGTAAATTTTGTTGGTTTTTATGGCTGAATCGTATTCCATAGAGTATGTGTGCCACAGTTTTTCAATCCATTCATCCGTACGGGGGCATTTGGGTTGGTTCCATGTCTTAGCAATTGTGAATAGTGCCGCAATAAACATCGATGTGCAAGCACTTTTCCAATGAAGAATTCTGTCCTTTGGGTAGATACCAAGGAGTAGGATTGCTGGATCATATGTTTGTTTTTGAAGAGGTTTTTGCTATAGGACGCTTGTGCTCACCAGAGAGACAGAAAGTGAGCAATCACTTCCTGAGGAAATGGCCACGCCAGGCGTGTGTGCGTGCGTGCCCAAGATTCTGAGAGGAGAATGGAGAAGGAATTGCAGCTTGGCCATCCCCCCTGGGGAGTGATTTCTCGCTTTCTGTCTCTCTGTTTTTCTGGCGAGCACATGCACCGTATAGCAAAAACCTCTCAAAAAAACAAAAACAAAAACAAAAAAAACCTCATGACTTAGGAGAGATCTCTAAAACAAATACAGTCCATTCTTTAAATCAACAAAAACTCACGTAGCCAGCAATGTCAACACGACTGTTAGTAACTGCTTATTTGGCCTGTAAAAATCAATTCCTACTGGTTAACAGGAAAAAAAGAAAAAAAAAATCTGGCTAATTAAATTAAATTAAATCTATTTGCACTGCATTTGTATCCAAGGCAATTTGGATACAATGACCAATGATTGAATGATTGTAGGAGAAAAGTAATTCTTAGCTACTACTTTCATTTAAATTTAATCTTTCCTAACAGCTCTCCAGGGTGAAAGAGCTCTCCCTGTTGCCCTAGTTCGTATAAACACTGGTGAACAAAATATTATCATAGGTCATAAAAGTGTGGCTCTTAGGGCTGGCAGGTGGCATGGTGGTTAAAGGCGCTAGAGTCCCACATGGCCAAGCACAGTTCGAGTCCTGGACCTAGTGGCTTGCTTTCTTGCTTTCCTTTTCTCTCTCTCTGGTCAAATTGAAAAATAATAATAGTAGATGAATAAATAATCAATTTTTTTTAAGTATGGTTCTTTTTTTTTTTTTGAGAGAGAGATTTTCGCTATAGGGCGTGTGCGCTCGTCAGACAGAGACATAGAGACAGAAAGCGAGAAATCACCCCCCAGGGGGGATGGTCACGCCGCAATCCTTTCTCCTCCATTCTCCTCTCGGGATCTTGGGCACACATGCACACGCGCCCGGCGTGAGTTTTAAGCCACTGGGTCCGGGACGCGAACCGTGGTCGACTACGTGGGAGTCCAGCGACATAGCCATTAAGCTAACTGCTGGTTCTTAAGTATGGTTCTTAATTGGTCTTCAGTTCTGAATAGTCCTTACCAAGTGGCTTTCTCAAGTGAAATGTGTACATTACAGTGCATTTACAGTGGCAAAAAACTGGAAACAACCTACATGTACAAAAATAGGAAAAAAAGTTTAAGGAAATGTATGTCCATCTGATGTGCTTTGTAATCATTAAACACAATTTCTGCCAAGTTTTAAATACTATGGGGAAATTCTTATTAAATTTAAGACAAATCTGGGATGCATATTGTTTTACAGTATATCACACCAGCTAAATATGTATCATAAACAGACTGGTAGAACATATTAAAATGCTCAATGTTTTTTCTAGGTGGTGATAAGAGAGATAATATTTTGTTTAAAAGCATCTGCATTTTAATATCATAAGTCAACTATTTTTACAATGAAGAAAAAAACAAACAACTCAAAGATGTGTCTTCTGTAAAACAGAGAGGATTTCCCATATCTAAACTTCTGAAAGGGATACATCCCAACTTCTACACTGTGGTGCAGATACATGTGAAGGAGGTAAAATGATTTGTCCAAATATACTAAAATTGTTAGAAAATGCTTACCTAATGTAAACACAGACTCGGAGGAAATACACAAACATTGAATACTATAAGGCTATGCAAAACACAATTCCTCCCCTTGAACTTCTTTTATTTTTTTTATTTTTTAATTTTTTTGAAGCAGTCTTGCTATTAACTGCCACTATAGGCATGTGCCACCATGCTTGGATATATTTTTTTTTTCACACAGGGTCTTGCTATATTGCTGAGGCTGGCCTCAATCTCATGGCCCTCCTGATCCCCTTGCTTCAGCCTCCCCAAATGGCTGGTATTTCAGGGACACATCACCATGCCTGGGCTTCAGCTTGGACTGGGAATCCAACCTAAGCCTTTTATTTCATCCTCAACTCTGATCACAGCCTCTCAGCAACATGAGCTTCTCTGACTGGGCCCTCTTTTTTTCTGAATGTTAACACAAAAAATTATGGTAATGTGAAGTGGGCTTCTTGAATGTAACCTAAGGGAGAGACAGGGGGCCCTGTCATTTCCAAAATTAGCAGATGTTCTCATCAGCCATATCAGCCATATGTCAAACTCAGACATCTTCTCCCTTGAAAAAATTCAAACAAACAAAAGGGGTAAAAAATGTGTATCAACTTTTAGAAGTACTTGAGAGAGTGTACCTTAACTTCAGCCCACGTAGAGGTTAAGAGTAAGATTTACAACCAAGAACATTAATGTAACTTAAAGCTAAAACAGGGTCTTGAAATCTTCATTTGGTGTTTCTTATGTTCACTGGTATCCATGTAACTCAACTGGATAAAGCTTTTTCTCTTCCATCTGGGAAATAGAATGAAAAAGTTAAAGTAACATACAGATATTTTCTATACAACCAAAAAAATACAGTATTCTCGCAATCAAATATTACATAATATCTTCATATGATTGTAATATAGTTCATAGAAAAGGAAAATCCCCTCAGTAAAGTTTAAGAGTTATACCTCATTTTATTATTTCTACTGTAAAAATACAATCTGTGTACATCAATATTTTCTCAGGAAGAAGGCCTATGAAACATGACTAATATTATCAGATATAGTCTAAAAAGAAAATGGAGCAAATCTGGACATGTTAAGAGTTACGGAGAAGCTTCAAAAAGGGTGGCCTGACAGTCTCCTAAAATAGTATTTGAAGCAAGGTTTATGTAAAAGTTTAATTTTTCAAAACACAAAACTTATCAGTTAGCCAATCACAAAACAACAAAAGCAATAGAACAGTTTTGAAACACTTATTTGAGTTTTATAGGTTTTTATTTCAAAAGCAATTGATCATAGGAAAAGTGGAAATGCTTCTATGAAAATATTTTATCTTGTAATGATGGGGAGAAGGAATCTTATTAATGATTTTCTAAAATGCAAAGTAGGAAGAGTATATCAAACTGAAAAAAAATGACATTAACTCATTAGTAAGCTTTAGTAAGTCAATACGCCCCCTCCATCTGATGAACATATAGGAAGGATAAACAATTTTAAAAAATAGACCCATCTTTTACATGAAGTTATGACTGTAAATGATCAATAATTAATAATTTTATGACTGTAGAATCTTCTTGTGACAAATTATTTTTTTAAAAAGAATAATTATTTTTAATTTAACTATTATTATTCCAGTTTGATCAGAAAGAGAGAGAGGGAAAGTGAGGAAGCAAGCCTCCAGATCCAGGACTTGAATGGCGGTGGGCCATGTGGGAGTCCAAGATCTTTAACCACCACACCACCTGCAGGCCCCTTGTGACATCAATTTCTGTTAGCATAATTACAAGGCCAATTTAAAAGAATCTAGTAGGGCTATTTATTTTGGTTTAGAGCTTGAATGGAAAAAATCGGGAAAACATTGATGACTTGCTACTTATTACTCTACTTCTAAAATTGTGCTTTCTCTGCCACCCATCACTCCACAGCCTCTGACTCAGAGGCTATTTGGAGAGGACACCTGTTTTAAAGGGATCCACAGGAAATACCTATGTTGTCTTTTCATAATCTGACCCTACATCTGATTGGCTGAAATGTGATCATTATTTAAAAACAAAAACAAAAAACTCTGTCACTCACAGACTAACATAACATCGATGTGGCAATATTTACTGGAAGGTAGAAGGAATCCAGTTTATATTTATTTTCCTTCCATTAAACCCTGGTATTGTGGAGTAGGAAAAAGGTAAATAAAGGGGCTAAACCAGTTTAACTCCGTTTAACTCCCAAAAGATTAGTATTAAATTATACACATGGGTATACATCCAAACTCAGAATGATTTGTTTTTTAAGCTGAATGCAATCTTGTGGCAGAAAGTTGTCTAACACTATACACACACACACAACCACACACACACACACACACACACACAACCACACACACATACATATATACTATAAACCTCAGGTTCGTAGTTCATATTCTATCTTTTGTATTAGGATGTCATTAATAAATCTTTTGTAGAAAATTTCAGGGCAGTCTATCCGTTGAAATCGGAGTTTATAGAGGAGTTTCGTAGTCATCAGCAGTCGTTTATCTTTCAACAACAAAAAAACCCAACTGGGTTCAAAAGGCTGCAAGTAACTGGGGGCCACCAGGGCTCACGTTCACAACTCTGCCTGGTCCCTCCCTATGGGGCATCATTCACTAGCCAGGGGATCGTTCGCTGCAACTCCAGGGTCTGGAACGTTTGTCCCCTCCTTCAGCTCTGATCCCCCGACCATGGGCCAGCCCCACGCCCACTCGCCCGGGGCCGCGCGCCCTGTCCGTCCAGTAGATGCCACCAGCAGCGGTCCCCGGAGCTTGCGCACACTTCCTGAGCGCCCGCTGCTCTTGGAGAGAGCCCAGTACTCTTCGGACGCCAGGAGGGCGCCCCCGACCGGGTGTCCCGCTGCCCAGCGAACGCAGGAGCAGAATGACGAAGATGACGAAAGAGATGACGCCACCCCGC